GGCTGGTCTCAAGCCAGAGCAAATTGCCAGTATTCTGCGAGCAGCTCAACCAGTATCTTATGGTGACTAATGACAAGTGAAGCTTTTGAAACATATTTTAGTTGTGACGATTCTATCTGAGTCTATGAAGCTTCCGTCACCTCAGAACAGATGGCGTAAGTCACTGTTCTCGTTTGTACATTGGTGTCTATTGACCCGATTGCGTCCATGAAATTGATGCCCATGACCGCGTGCGTTATGATGATAATAGCAATTGGCCTTGAGTTCTCATTTTATGTCCATCGAGAGCAGTGGCTTCGAACATGCTCGAACTCTGCGGAGACGCAACACAGTCGTGATGAGAAAACGATCGCAATAAAGTGAGCTCATGTCTGCACACATCAACGCGGCGCCAACGATATTCATGGTTCGACAACAGCTGCATTAGCTAGGAACTCAAAATGGTGACATCGATATGAAATATGCCCGAATTGGAGGAACAGGCGAAGATGAAGCCAACGGAGACGATTATCTACCATCACAACACGCCGTCATAAACACCCTGAACGTCAAAGTGAAGTCGCAGGCTTCAGTGAAGAAATGCGCCACGTAACTCTCCACAAGTAACAGAAGAAGAACCCCACACAACACGTGCACAGCGTAGATTTCAGTCTATCTCAGTTTCAAAACCGAGGCCAGAGCGATTCCCGAGTGGCTCTGGGAGCTTCTCTCAGGTTGAGGTTGTGGCCCCGACAGCGACCGAGGTTTTCTGAGAATTGGCGCTGGACGCAGCCATCGGTGTCATAGTGTTTTACATTCTCTTAGAGGAACGCCCCTACGAACATTACCGGCGCGGCTGAACTGCCTGAACGACCGATGCTCTCGGTCGTCAGCTTGAGGCTAGCTGATCTCAAGGAGCTGGATCATGTTCCTTCATGTTCCTCGCGATTCCTGCCCTAGGCGCGATGGCGGATTCTAGCGGCTCTCGCGATAACGATGTGCCCGTCCATCGGAGTGAGTTCTACGCTATGATAGCGTCGCTATCTAAAACCGCAGTCGAAGCGTCCAGTGATCGCAGTATTGTGTCGCTCACCGAGGCGCCTGTAACGAGGGCCCGTTACGGTGGAACAGATGCCGTCGACTGCGTCGGTGGAGCCGCTGGCTTCCCAAACCTCGGTGGTTTGAGCTATGGTATCAGCCTCGCAGACCACCTGGTTCATGAGTGAGTCAAGGCTTCTGGACATCTGCCTATCGGCTGCATACGAGATCGCCGTCCTCTGAACTGTGAATTTTGCGTGGAATTGTGTGCCCAGTGTGCAAGCACACTGTAAGACTAATATAATAGCCCGGTCCTACGCCGCCAGTGGTGAGCGAGATTCTTCGTGTCGTGTTTGTCGGTCTGTATTATCCCTCGCAACTTTGGTAGCCAAGGATTGTCGCTTTTTCTTCACCCACCCGGGACTTCCCGGCGCCGAGGCCGGTGACGTCATTCTGTATTTCGCACGCAACCGTGCCTGCAATATTCCCGCCTGGTGTGAGTTCCCCCATCAGCACGTACATGTTTATATATCCCCCGTGACTGAGTCAACACGGTTTGAGTTCGGGATTCCGAGTGCTACTAGTAGCCTGCTCTTTCGATAAAGTAGAGGGAGTATACTGGCATAATGGAGGTGCGTCCCTATTGCGTGGAACGCTCGCCTTAGTGATCCCACCCCAGAATGGACTGCATATCATGCGATCAATCGGTCTCAGACCGACGATCTATAGCTTGTAACTCGCACTAGCAATATCATTGCTGTATAAATCAAGCTCGATCGGTCCCTAGATATCCTTGCCATTGTCACCTTATAGTATAAGACTTTTGCCTGTGTAGTGTGTAGTTGTGCTGTGTACTGTGCGGCACCCCCTATGACATGCGTGCAGTCGCTGATGAACACGATTGGCGTCCAACAATAGTCGTTACAATTGTTATACTTCTTGTTTTTCAAGTGAACTGGAACACTGGTTCCGCTATATACTATATATCGCTATCGTTAGCTCGTTCTTTTCCTTTGTCAATAATTCTGTACCGTAACACCACCCACTAGGGATATCGAGTTACCACTAGTAGAATACCGATCAACTAATGCACCAATCGACTTGCCAATCACTACAACCATACCATTTACAGTGACATGCGTAGACGTCCGATGGGGAGCCACTCCACTCCAAGCCGACAGTGATCGGTTATAACTATAAATCCTAGCTAAGGCTGCCCCCCTGACTATCATTAGGGTAGAATGGATAAGCATAGCTAGCACAAGATAATCAGGATTAGTTCGGAACGTATCGGTGTTTCCTGGAAGTCAGTCAGCATATTATTCTTGTGATATCATGCATTACCATAATTACTACGAAATACTCCTCACCGCGACGGCCCTGCTAGTCGGGATTGAAGCCAAACCTCGGATACACTTCAGCGACATCACAGGAGAACTGAAGATCCTCGTATTCAGCGACTTGCATTATGGAGAGGCGGCTGATAAGGACCTACGATCCTATGTAGGCTTCATTCACCATTCCCCGTCTCCCCAGAGGGTCCAGTTTCCACAAATATGATAACTGCCACTCTCGTGCTTGGAATACCAGTTGTTCAGGTCTTCCAGAGAATCCTGATAGAAGCCGAGAAACCTGACCTGGTAAGCGACGACAGCCCCAAGACTTTTGACTACATTCAATTACTACGTCGTAGGTCGTATTCAATGGTGACGCCTATTCGGACTACAGCGCGCCAAAGTGCTGTGAAGTGGAAGGAGATTGTACCGAGTGGTTTGAAACACAGTGGAGACGCTTTACTGCTGTAGTTAGGGAGCTACAGGTGAGCTCCTCAAGTCACCTCGGATTCGACACCGCCGTGTACAGGTGTCTCCTTGTTGGGTCAGATTCCTTACGCTTTCGTTCTGGGCAATCACGACCATTTCCGTCCGGGCTTGAAGCCTGACGGAAAGGACGTCATTGCTTACGATACATCACGCAGCAGATGGAGCCTTTCGAGAAGATGTATGGACAACCACAGGAAATTTCCCGCTCGGGACTGCTATTTTTCAGCCCCTAGTGGAGTAAGCGGTGGCTCTGTCTACAACATCCCCGTATATGAGAACTCCACAGCAGGTGGCAGACCAACAGCTGTGTTATGGATATTGGACTCGGGCAGACTCAATTGTATGGGGCTGAAGGGCTGGGGATGTGTTCAAGAAGATCAAACACAATGGTAAGAAATAATGTTTGCCTATAGCCTTGATTATATTGTTCATGCAAACGAGCGTTGGGCGCACAGATATGGTCGAATGATGATTGATTCAGTGGTGATATTCATCTCGTAGGCGTAGGACCATCGATTTCATAACACAATTTCTATTTCGTGAATCGCTCGTGATATCAATTGCGTGGAATATCCCCCCTGAAACCTGTCAGGGGGGCCAAGATACTGCCAAGATACTATCCCTATCATTTCTGTTTGGTGCGGCCCCCTCGGTTTAGTAGGAGGGTCCTCGTGTTCGCTCATTCTCTTTGTTTCAATCGTTCCCTACGTCAAGGTTCGAATCCCAAGCGGAATCTAGCGAGTTCAAAGGAGTCCAAGGCCTTATGTTTGTCCACATTCCACTGCAAGAGGTGAGTTCAACTTGCCCAACTTACTAAGTTGGACTGTAGGCTACAGTCTGTACCCGCTCGTTCCTCTACAATGGATCCCCACGTAACTACCAACAACCTCCTGTGATCGTCAGCACAGTCGGCTATATTACGCGCGTATTTAGCACAATTTGCATGACGTTGACAGGAGGGTAGCTGAAGAGAAATTTCAGATTCTCCTTCAGGTTCTCCTCTACTGGAACCTGTATAATGAGAGCTCGGGGCATATCGTTGGTGGCAAATACGAGAGTGTTTGTTGCAGTAGTGCCAATACCGGTGAGATCGCAAGCTCTCATCCATGGCTCCCTTCATGATCATGCAGCCTTGATCAGGTCTCTTTGCGGCAGCCCTTAGTCATAGTGTGAGCGGAATATTCCATGGCCATGACCACAATAATGACTTCTTAGCTCGGATTGATACGACTTCTCAGACGATACATGTGGGGTATGGAAGGAAAAGTGGCTATGGCGGATACGGTGGAGGTGGGACCATCGAAGAATACTTATTGTGATCTGTGTCACAGTTATCGCTGATAAGCCGGGCGCTCGAGTCATTGTCATGAAACTCGATAAGGATCGACGCAGCTATACATGGAATACTTACATAAGACTCGAAAATAACTCGACTGTTCACGAAGCAGTCCAGAGTCAGGTAGATCCTTGCTGTTGTTCATCAGCTTACTACAGCTGGACGCTGACCTTTTAGCTCTTTAGTCGTGCTCCTTTCAGAGAAGCCTCCAGTCGCACCGTAACATTCAAGGTTATTGTAGCGACATGGCATGATAGAGTTCCCTTCAGAGTGTTGCAACATGTATCACATCGAAGGTGGCCATTACCAAGTTCATACTGATTGCTCATTCGAATTTTTGAAAACGTTTTGAAAAGTGTCCACGCAGTCCTCCATGTTACAATCTGTTTGTTTTTGATCACTGATAAGTTGACGGTGTTAACTTGTCACACATTCCCTTCTTATGACCAAAAGAAATTCTTTTCAAGTTCAGTGTATTATTTTAAAAATTGCATTTGATCCCAATAATCGGATTGTCGTTACAGTGGGGTTCATGCTGCATATCTCTAGCTGTTATTCTGTAGTACTTCAGAACCCAACAAGAGTATTATTAGTAGTTGTTGGAAGGAACTAGTGTTATAGTCAAAGCTACAGCTAACTGAGTGGTCTAAACAACTATGGAGATATTAGGGAAGGAAGAATTGTCGTGTAACAAGAGTGGCGCATCACATAGTCGCACTGGCTTGTTGTTGATGAGGAGCTTATACTCAGTGTCTCATTGTCAACTGGTTTCTCACCAGTTGGATGATAAGCTCTCACGTAGGAAGCGCATTCTTGGCAGACTGCCAAGAATAATCCAACCTTCAACTTCAACCCGAAGCTAAGATCGCGGAATTTCGTAGTGATTCGTGGTAGCAATCCTACGCAGGAGGATCGGCGTGAGCGAAATTACCACGCAGAGCGTGTGCGCTCAAAAATAACCACAATTGCGGTAGTCCAGCGTGGTTCAATGCTAGAGCTAGTGAGATGCTAGCAATAAGGCACACCCATGTGCTCACAGTTGTAATAATGGCGGACGCGAGCTCGACCCAGCCCTCCGCTCCCTGGATGTGGAGGTAGGATACTAGAGACTGCTGACTCGACCCGTACCGGGTATGGAGTCGGGCAGCTCTTGTGTCCTACTGAACCGTGTTGGCCACCAACTCATAGTTGGCAGCAGACACAGGTTACTGCCTGGTTGCTGGCTCTGACATAAATGAAGATTTCACAGGTCAGAGCTGAGCCATTCACGGTTCACACCCCCAACCTCTGCATCATGGGAATTTCGGTAGAGTAGAGGGAGAGGCAACCCAGTGGATTTCCCAAGACAAGAAGTATTTTTGAGACGTATCATTCCCCATCGATGGCATAAGTTTACATACAGTTTACGTATAATACCCTGAATATTCATGGGGCAAAAATTGCGTTTTTGGGGTATGAGGACAGTCTTCGGGGCGGGACGAGGAATTTGGGAGCGCGTATGTAAAATTTCTGTTATGCCTTGAGTACTAGGACTCCACAACCAGGGAGGCCTCGAGTAAGGGCTGCGACGTAGAAGGATCGAAGAACAATACCTAGTCTATACTCTCGTGTGATTAATCTTCAAGCTACGCACTCCCACATACATTTCAGGGGTAAATTACAAATTCCAAGGATGCATCTCGCTCGCCCTATTTTACGCGCGCGCTTACATTGTTGTACAAAATCCAAGGATGTCACTTTTCCCATTCGGGTTTCTGGTTGCCTTGGGTAACAGCTTTCACCTTTATAACAGTTCGGGTTTCTGGTTGCCTTGGGTAACAGCTTTCACCTTTATAACAGTTCGGGTTTCTGGTTGCCTTGGGTAACAGCTTTCACCTTTATAACAGTTCGGGTTTCTGGTTGCCTTGGGTAACAGCTTTCACCTTTATAACAGTTCGGGTTTCTGGTTGCCTTGGGTAACAGCTTTCACCTTTATAACAGTTCGGGTTTCTGGTTGCCTTGGGTAACAGCTTTCACCTTTATAACAGTTCGGGTTTCTGGTTGCCTTGGGTAACAGCTTTCACCTTTATAAGAGTACAGTAGGGGCAAGAGTACTAGTGAACCCCGGAATCAGTTTCGAACTGATTCCAGAGTTGATAAGTACTCTTGCGGCCGAGGCTCGGCCTACAGTATGTGCCAATTTGATGTGCAAATGTGAAGAATGTGCATTTTATTTTTCGGGATTAATGATAGCGAACAACTTGTCGCTATCATAGTCTCGAAAGGATACTTATATCACATGTTCATAAGAATGTTTACATTGTTTATGTGATATAGTTTCAAATCGATTCTTATTAATCTCGGGAAGTAACACACATTCGAAAATCAGTTTGATACACACACTAGAATGGAAATCCAGTCAGTCCCGGTTTAATACTCGTCCGTGGAGTTTTTCAACTTAGCTAATCCTCTCGCCTTATCTGATTGTTCACGGTGATGCATAAGACCGCTAAATTTCGCGATCTTGTTTTGTTTTTTTTCCGAAACGAAAACGATCTTGAAACGGCTCCCCTACTGGAGAACCAGGATAAAACAATCGTACCACAATTTGGGGATTCTTCCTCAAGCCGTGCCTTAGAAGTAGGCATTCCTAGCGACACTTACTTGAGGAACACTTCCTCATAACTTCTAAGGAGCGTTAGGAATTCCTAATTTTAAGATACGCCTAAAGGACCTTAAGGAGCGGCTCCTAAGTTTTATAGGGTAGCCTCCTTACTTTAAGAAATCCTTACGCTCCTTTGCCTCCTACGTTACAAGAAGGTGCTCCTTACTTAAGGAGGGGAGTAATATAAACTCCTTGGTCCAACTGCATTGTATTATGGCCTACTGTTAGGTCCCTTTTTGTGCGATCGCCCTAAGATATGTAATCCACTCAGATTGGGATAAGCTAAGCTAGATATTTCCGTAATTGCAATCATAAATGGATTATTATTAACTCCTTTATTGTTATGTCGAATTCACTTTCCCTAGGGTCACAACACTACAAAGAACAAGATAACACACCGTATTCACAGTGTTTGTAAGCATGGCTTCCTATGGGTCATCATACCCATCTCCCAACGTGGACTTCAGCTACTCTACCGCACCTTCTCCTAACACAAGGCAGATCATGGCTGATATGGCCGGTAGGATATTTCGACATGTCCATATGTGATGAGATGTTCTCAGAATTTTACCCCAAGTTAGCTCCAGAGTACCAAGCTCAGGCCAGAGAGGCGCATGAGCATGTATTGCAATTACAGCGACAAGGTAAATAGATATTCGCTGTGGAGTGTAGAGAAACCAACAAGAATTTCCAAATCGTCACTGACACGTTCACTCGACCATGTGCGTAATTGCAGGTATGACCAATGAAGCTTTGAGCTTGCTGGAACATATGAGGAATCAAATGCGAGAAATGGTGCGGACTGGCCTTACTCCTGGACATATACCCGTATCTCGAGAAGTTGATGATAGTACTACTAGTAGTAGTAGTAGTAGTAGTCGTAGTAGTAGTAGTAGTAGTAGTAGTGGTAGTAGTAGTAGTAGTAGTAGTAGTAGTAGTAGTAGTAGTAGTAGGAGTAGTAGTAGTAGTAGTAGTAGTAGTAGTAGTAGTAGTAGTAGTAGTAGTAGTAGTAGTAGTAGTAGTACTGGTTGGGCGATGCCTTCCTCACGGGCGTGCCGTAGGTTCACAGGCTAACGACCTCAACGTGCGGCCTAAAGTGCAGGATTCCGAGAGGCATAGTTGGAAAACTGAAGTAGAAATCGATATATGCTATTTTTTTTCTAAGAAGCCACAGAATGTTAAGTTCTTCACTTTAGTTGCCGCGAGGAGCTACAAGGCGTCCCGGTGGCGCTGAAATTGGATCTCAGCCAGAGCTCGTGGATCAACTTTTTAGTACACCTGTTGTGAATGTACCTGTTACTGCTCCTGTTATACAACGCCACCGGAAGGATGCTGGTAGTAACCGCTTCTGGCTCACCTTATCGCATTTTTCGGAGGAATTTCCCATTGTTATTGTCAAAGCTAGATGGGACTTTGTGAGTTATGCAACTGTCACGACTGCAATTAATTTCCATCAGAATCGATAAGACGTCTGCGGCGGCAAGTGAGGGAGCTGAAAGTTGAACTGGCGCGTACCAAAGGACCGGAAAGCGCGGAGGAAATGGAAAGAAAATTGAAAATGCAGGAAATGGAAGAAAAATATTCTACGTTGGAGAACACTGTAATATGTGGGAGAAATCTGTGGTTGAATTTTGGGTGATTTAAGAAAAGTGGAGTCTCACTGGTTTTACGTGAAATGACGTAACAACGCGATTTTTTCCCGAAAAGGGAATTGTGAAATATGTTTTTTATATCACGGGTGAAACTTCAGTGCAAGGTAATACACATATTGACCGTCGAGGCCACCCTATCCTGTATAGACCTCTTTAATTCATGTATACCATAATATTGTAAAACACACCAAAGTCGTAATGAACGGAATTGCCTTCCTAATGGGATGCTCCTGAGATACGACCATATACGCAATGTGGGAAAATATACACATGGTCAACTACGTGGGTTGAGAATTTTGGGAAATTTCTTATTGGTTTTCCTACACGAATTCTTGTGAGAATAGATACGGTTGAGGAAAGCGAGCATATATTCCTCCAACACTGCTGATAAGCTGATATACATCGTTAACTACATGTGTTGGTGAAATTCTGGGGAAATTTTGGAAAATTCTCGTTGATTTTCGTACAGCTGAGGGAAGCGAACATATACTCCAATATTGATTTAGGTTAGAGACCTCCGCTCAGTGTTATCAGAGCAGTTGAGCAAAACCTCGCAAGTGGTGCAACAAACGGAGAGTAAAGTGAAGGAGGAGAAAGAAAAAGCCGAACGGCCGAAAAATCCTTTTTGTAGAAAAAAAGGGGAAAATTCAGTTTAAAAGGAGTGTCGAAAAATGTGGGAAAATATGCACATGGTCAACCACATGATAAGATGAAAATTATGAGGAAAATTTGGGAAATTAGTTTTTGTACACTTCTACCCGAATTTGTATGCTAGTACTATAGTTAGGGAGGAAACTTCTGAGCTTAGCTGAGGAGAGCGAGAGTATATTCCAACACTGGTGTAGTGTGGAGAAATACACACATGGTCAAGTACGTGTATTATGAGAATTTTAGGAAATTCTCATTGGTTACGAATTCAGTTGAGAGAAGCGTGTTTTCTAGGCAGTGTGGAAAAATATGCACATGGGCAGCCACATATGTTAATGGCGATGCGAAGGTTATGAGGAAATTTTGGGAAATTGTTATTGGTTTCTGTAAATTTAGACGGCATTCATGTGTAAACTTCTATAATTAGTGAGGAAACTGCTGCTAGACTCCACTGAGGAAAGCGAGTACATATATTTCTCCAACACTGGTGTTTTCTAGGTCGTCACGGTGTAGATGATGATGTGTGTGAATTCTGTGAAACCAGGAAGGCCCGAACTGTGAGGGCCGAGCGCTCGCCTGCAGTGAACCGAAGCGTTGCGCAGGAGACATATGATAATCTATTTTTGGAAATGCAAAGTAGGTGCGGTTTTACGTCGGATTTTCACCCTAGTGATATGCAACAGTAATGAAAAAAATATTTCATGACTACTGCATAGCTCAAATATCGCGTTTTTCACGGAGTTTTACGCCACTTGAAGTGGAAGGGGTGAAACTCCAGTGTGTGCCAATTTGATATGCAAATATGAAGAATGTGTGTTTTCTATTCCGGGATTAACGATAGTGAACAACTTGTCGCTATCATTGTCTCGAAAGGTTACTTTTATCACATGTTAATAGCAATGTTTACATTGTTTATAACTGATTCTTATTGATCTCGGGAAATAACATACATTTTTATATCAAATTGACACACACTATATGTTACGAATATCTTTTGCGCACAGCGAAGATTTCAGATACGCTCCTGTCGTATCAGCGATCTCTAATGGAGACGTTGAAATCAAGAAAAGAAGAGTTGAAGAAAAATGAAGATATGAATAAAAATGTAATAAATGCCTTTGGTCACTCACACTCAGTTTGGTGGTATATGCACAGGGTAAAAATAAGGAAATTTTGGGGAATTTTGGGGAATTTTGGGAAAATTTTGAGGAAATTTTGGGAAATTTTGGTATAGTTCTATTATTCAAAAACGTGTGTGGATTTTCATAATGTAGTGATAAAATTTCTGAGCTCAGTTGAGGAAATCAAACATATATTCCAACACTGCTCATATTACTGTTTCTCGAGGAACCTACGAGTAACCCTAAAGGAGTTAATAACAAGGGAGATGATGATGATGATGATGACGAGTTTTCGGCGACCAAGTTGGAATATGAGAAGCGGTGGGGAAAGGAGACCGAGCTGAGTCCTAGTAGTATGGGGTGCTTTTATATGAAATCTTTTCTGGTGAGGAGACTCTCCGAAATGTGTGTCTATGATCTTTCCTGTTGATCGCACGTGTTGGTATGAATTTATGGAATTTATTCCATCCGTGATTTGTGGTTTTCGGCAACTGCGAGGCTAGTCTCCTAACGCG